CTCTCTCTCTCTCTCTCTCTCTCTCTCTCTCTCTCTCTCCTGTCATCCAGGACAAAAGCTAAACAAACCAGAAAAGACAAGCCCATGAAAAGGGCCCTATGGCTCACACATTCTCAGGCTCACTCCATCTGTCTCTGACCCAACCAGCCTTTAATTAAGTCTGCGAGTTAAGCAAATACTCTATCTACAAACAGCAATAAAGGAGAGGGGCCCACTTGGTAGCAGGCTCGGTTCCAAAGGCCACTGGCAGCCTGGCCTGGCTGTTTGGGTGCCCCCCATGGCCCCACCCCACTGCCAGGGCCCCACTGCTCCCGCTAAGCTGCTGACAAGCTGACCTTAAGCATTCTGCTGGAGAATGCTCAGGCATACCACAGGCTGGGGATTATGCCTTATCCCAGTGGCCTAGAGACACCTGGGTGCCCCCCCCCTTCTCCTTCTGTCTGTCAGCATTACATAAATCAGGCCAGCCCAGAGTCACCAGAGGTTCCTGGCACCCCTGGTCTGGCACCCAGGAAAATCCATTCCATTCCATCTACAGATGGAGAGGAATAGTTCAGTATTAAGAGCGACATCAGGAAAAAACAGGCTCCTTGGATCATAGGAGCCAGAAAGGCCTTAGAGATGATCTCATCCAGCCCTACCATTCTACAGATGAGGAAACTGAGGTCTGCATACAGGTGGCAAATAGCAGAGTGGGGATTGCTGCCCAGGTCGGCTGGCTCCAAATCCAAGCAGCTCTATGTCCCAAGCAATGAGGAAGGGCTTGGCTAGGTTAGGTTGCCATTAGCAGAGCCCTCAGCTGGAGATGGAGTAGGAAAGGACTTGGGGCCAGGGCCCTTTCCTTCCCACTTTGAAGGCCAGGTCCTTGCTTGGGAACCTAGGCCTCTTAGGAGGCAAAGGGAGGCCTGGGCCAGCACTATAGAGGCAATCTCAACAGACGCCATCAGGGCCAGTGGCCCCTTTGCCCACCCCGCAACATTCCAATCCCTCCGCCTTCAGGAGAGGGTGCAGCTGTTCTGCAGGATTGGCCCCTACCTGCAACTGCTCTCCTCTGGCCGGGATACGAGCGCCAGGGAGGAGACCGCACGGGCCTGGTTTGGCCTTTTGCAACAGAGTTGCTGCAGCTGCCGCCGATACTTGTCCCCTGTGAGGAGGTAGAGCACAGGATCCAGGCAGCTGTTGGCACTGGCCAGTGGGCGGGTCACCTTGTAGGTAATATTGACGATGTCCAGTGTCTGACAATTCGCCTCCAAGAGGCGGGCCAGGTAGTAGATGGTACGGGTAATATGGAAGGGCACAAAGCAGATGGCAAAGACAGTCAAGACCACAGCAATGGTACGCAGGGAGCGGAGGCGGGCGGAGGAGTGGGCAGCACCTGGCAGGGGCCGCCACAGACGCCGGGCCATGAGGCCATAGCACACCAGGGTAACCAGAAAGGGGAGTCCAAAGAGCAGAATCATAACTACAGAACTGAAATGGACGTAGCGGTCGAAGTCCTCGGGCTTCGTGGTGTCATGACACAGGGTGGTGGTCCCTCGCGTGCTGGTGGTGACAAAGAAGAGGTTGGGCACGAGGCAAGCGGCCACGGTCAACCAGACGGCCAGGCAGATGAGGCTGGCGATGTGTGGGCGGCCCCAGCGCAGGGCCCGCAGTGGGTGGCAAATGCCCAGGTAGCGATGCACACTGATACAGGTCAGAAACAGGACACTGCTGTACAAGTTCCAGTAGAAGAGGAAACGGATGAACTTACAGAGACCAGTCCCAAATGGCCAATCGTTGCGGGCCGCGTAGTAATAGATGAGGGTCGGCAGCGAGAGCAAGTAGAGGGTGTCAGACAGTGCCAGGTGGAACATGTAAGTGGCCGTGGCATCCCAGGGGTGAAGACGGAAGAGAAAGAGGAAGAGGGTGGGGACGTTGAGGCCCAGGCCCAACACGAAGACCACAGCATAGCTCACCGGGAGCAGAACGAACTTGAATTCTTCATCAAACCAGCATTCCACTTCCATGTCACCACTGCCAGGGCCAGGGGTGGGGGATGGGTCAGGGGACGGGCCAGGGGACGGGCCAGGGGATGGGCCAAGGGAGCTGAGTGCCAAGGTATCAATGCTGGCCATGGTCTGGAGAAATAGTGGGTACCTCAAAGGAGGGCACAGCAGGTACAGGGGAGTCGGGGGACTAAGGAATTCCCTGCTGATTTCACAGACCTCAGGACACAGGGAGATAAGAGGGCAGGGGAAATCAACTCAGCTCGCCTACAAAGGTAGGGTAGGGTGTGCCAGACAGTTGGTGGCCTGCAGTGGCCCCTGCCCTCCAAAGTGGGTAAGGACAGCCAGATCCAAACCAGAGATTCCTGACTGCCTGCCAAGAGAGGAGAGGGTGAGGCTGAGTTCACCGCTCCTTTCTCAGTAATTCCTGTCTCCTTCCCAGTTCCAAGGAGGCTAGCGCCTGTCTGAGGAGGTCTCGGCCTCCCTCCCGGCCCCACACAATGGCAGAGAGAAGGGTGGGGGGCTTAGCTAGGGAGCCCTAGGCTCGCCCCTAGCAGAGGGCTTTGGCACTGCTCCTACCTGGTCCCCTGGAGCTGAGTTCAGGTGCCTGTGCCGGCCTCCTCTCTGTGCCTGAGGGCATATCTGGAGGGCGGGGCAGAGGGGTGAGGCCTGTTCCTCCTCCCATGCCATCCCATCCCAGAAGCTCATAGGCTCATGGAATCTGAGGACCCTAGCTGGAAGGCATCTCGGACAGCATCTAGTGCCACCTCCTAATACAGAGGAGGAAACTCGGGGTCTGGGGGGGCTGGGTGATTCACCCGAAGTCCCACAGGTGACATGCAGCCCGTCTGACTTCTCAGGCACAATCACCTGATCTGGGAGCAGGGAAGTGGGGGGAAAACCCCCTCTTGGTCAGCCCTGTGCCCCCTGGCCTAGATTCGCTGGAAAACTGGGACTCTGAGGATAGGGGTGGGGGGATGAGGGGAAGGGGAGGCCTTGGGAATTGGGAAAGGAAGGGAAATCAAGGAAGCTTGAGCTGGGGCCTCAGCCCCCAGGACTACGTTCCTGACAACTGTGTAACTTGTTCCTGGAGGTAAGAGGAAAGGGAGGCCTTGAGGCTGAACCAGGGCTAGAGCTCATGGGGCATCAGAGAGACCCACAACCATCTTGTGGAGATGGGGGGCTCTCAATCCCCTCAAAAGGCAGGAAATCTGGCCCAAGGAAGCCCTGCTATCACTCACAGGGGAAGGAGGAACTTGGTGAAGTCCTTGGGCACAGCTCCAGGCTCCTTCTGTCCTGTACCAGAAGTATCTCTAGCTCTAGGCTTCCATGGCTGAGAGATGAGGCTTGCTAAGCCTTTCACTGCTGACACACTCAAATACACACACACACACACACACACACACACACA